ATATATATATATATATCTCTCTCTCGCGCGCGCTCGCGCGCGCTCGCGCCCCACGCGCGCGCGCGCGCGCGCACGCACGCACACACACACACACACACACACTCACACACACACACACACACTCACTCTCTCTCTCTCTCTCTACCCTCACACACACTCACACACACTCTCTCTTTTTTTTTTTTTTTGTGTATGTATATATACATGCATATATATATAATAAATATTCATATATATATATATATATATATATATATATATATATATATATATATATATATATATATATATATATATATATATATATATATATATATATATATATATATATGATAGTAATTTCTTGAAACTTTTGCATGCATGCGTTCATCATAACAAAGACTGAATAAAATTGTACGTAGTGCAGATTGTGTGAGAAAGACCTGCCTCAAGCAGTCCCAGAGGCGATTGATTTTTTGCGAAGAACGGAAGGTTGAAGAAAAGAAGTTGCGGTTACGAAATTGAAGTTTGTGGGGATTTGTATTTACATTGAAATATTGAAAAATTGCACCTCTGAAATCTGAATACAGTATTATTATTAGCAAAATAGTTCAGTTATTGCTGCTGTTATTTTATGACGGCAAAAACTCGGGAAAAAAAAGAAGTCGAAGTTTCGTTTTGGTTTAGATGCAACGTAGGAATGTTGAAGTTGGTTTTAATGTGCTCAATTTGTTTGTTTAATGACATGATTAATCCTGCATGCAATTTTAATTTTTTTTTTTAATCTGCACTTTGAGATGTTTTAAATATTAATAGTTTGGTGGTAGTTTTATGTTATCCAATGGGTGGATGATATTTGTACTGTGGAGCCAATCTTTTGTAGCTTTTTTCTTGCCTTTTTTTTTTTTTTATAAATATTTTATAGCCATTAATATTTATTTTTTATACGATAAAACATATTTTCTTTTAAACCATTGATCCTGGATCAATTAAACCGTAAATCAAGTCTACTTTTCTTTTATATAAATTATAATTTAGAATAATTTCAAATTTTTTTATTTAATTATTTTTCTAGATACGGTTCAACCGATCAAATTGGACCGGACAAAGTAACATTTTCTTGTTTAACTGGTTCAACGGGCCGATTCGGTTCGAGTTTCAAAACATTGGTAATAAACCTGATTTATAAACTATGTGTTATTTGACGAAGTGATGTATGCCAAATCTATTTATAACTTCGTTTTATTCGGGTTATTTCACTTTGGTATTAAATCATGGAATTTTACCATTTATTTTCAGAAATATGAATATTGCGTTAAAACATGTATACATAATATATTTCAGTTCGTTATTCGGATTTGATTTTTGTATTATATCATGGAATTTACAATTTTTTTCTCAAAAATATTAATACATAAAAAACATGTAATTTGAAGATAAAATAGAATTTCATTCAACTAATTAAAATACATAATAAAGATATGCATGAGGATTTTTTTTTTTCCCCGTCAATTTACGTTTATTAAAGTAAAGGTTAAGATTTTAATTATTTAAGGGGTGATTTGATGCACAAATTATAATTTTACGGGATATATGATTATTTTAATAAAGTGTAGGAGATATTTGTAAATAATATATTCTAGGGGGTGCAAAATGTATATTTAAAAGAAAAAAAGAACTCAACCCTTTGCTCGTTAAACCCTCGCTCCAAACCCTTTCGCCCAAAAATCCGTCGCCTCTCACTCTCACAAACCCATCTCCACAGAAATCCACCGCCGCCATAGATGGGTAAGGTAAAAGCTAAGGGAAAGCATCGTTTAGACAAGTTCTACCACTTAGCCAAGGAGCATGGCTACAGATCGCGTGCTGCGTGGAAGCTCGTTCAGCTCGAGTCCAAATTCACCTTCCTCCGATCGGCTCACTCCGTGCTCGATCTCTGCGCCGCGCCGGGAGGATGGATGCAGGTCTGCGTCGAGCGCGTGCCGGTGGGGAGCCTCGTCGTCGGCGTCGACCTCGACCCAATCCGGCCGATTCGCGGCGCCGTGTCCCTCCAGGAGGATATTACGACCCCCAAGTGCCGCGCCGCCGTTAAGAGGCTGATGGCGGAGAACGGATGCAGGGCGTTCGATTTGGTGCTGCATGATGGTTCGCCGAACGTTGGCGGCGCGTGGGCGAAGGAGGCGACGAGTCAGAATGCGTTGGTTATTGATTCGGTGAAGCTCGCGACTGAGTTATTAGCTCCGAAAGGAACTTTCATTACCAAGGTATATATAACTTTTAGCTAAAAAATTGCGCGCAGACTGTGTTGTTACATGAAATTTATGAGGAAAATGCTTTTTATTTTTATTTAGCGATAATTATAATTAGGAGAGATGTTTACGAGGTTTCTGCGGTAACAAAAAAACCAGTAACTATTCGTGTACCGTGAATTAAAATAGTGTTAAGTTAAAACATAGTATGTCAATTAGATTTTCGTCAATCTTGAATGACAAATTAAGTGCTAGATGGGCTAGGTGAGATGGATTGTGTAGGTTTGTAGTGAATTGAATACACTATTATACAATATCATGAAAAATCGAGTGAGAGTGGGCTAGATTCCGTTACAGGCAGTCGGTAGCTCTGCACTGCTGATACATGTTTCTTTATGATTGCTGATATTTTGGATACTCATTTTATAATAGTGTGAATCATGGGAAACTAGCATTTACTATTTCTTTGAAACTTGGAGCCTTCAAATTTTTAAATCAGTTCTAGTTGCACTTTTTCCAAATTGTGCTCGTCTCCAATTTATAGTGGTGCCTGCTTTGGTATTGCATTTTGCTGCATGGCTATACTTATTGAGCTTCTATCTTGTCTAATGTACTCGATGAGATTCAAAATCTAAGAGTGGAAGAAAGAACTCTCACCTTCATCTCTCTCTCTTTCTATAGGTTTTCAGGTCGCAGGATTACACCGCGGTTCTGTATTGTCTTAGACAGGTACTAATTCTTTTGTTTTTTCGAGCAAAATTCATGCTTGTACACCATTTCTCTGAGATGGGAATTCCCTTCGCAGTTATTTGAAAAGGTTGAAGTAGACAAACCAGTAGCTAGTAGATCGACATCAGCTGAGATTTATCTCGTAGGTCTTAAGTACAAGGCCCCCGCAAAGATAGATCCTCGTCTTCTTGATGTAAAGCATCTATTTCAAGGAGGAAAGGATACTCCAAAGGTAATTTGACCTCTCGTTTTTCCATCTTCATTTCTGGTTTCACCTTTTTTTTAGTTTGGGGTACTTATCCTTGTGCAATCAACTCTACCAGATTCTGGATGTACTAAGAGGAACAAAGCAAAAACGACATCGTGATGGGTAATTTTGTTTTGCTGATATAGTAATGTTAACTCAACTATATTTGTTTTGCTGTGCCAAAGCACTCATATTTGTTTTGCTCGGCAGGTACGAGGATGGAGACACAACTTTGAGAAAGTTGAGTTCAGCGTCAGAGTTTATTTGGTCTGATGCCCCTCTAGACATTCTCGGTTCAGTTACTGCTATAACCTTCAGTGAGCCCACATGTTTGCCCATAAAGGATCATACTTTGACAACCGACGAGGTATGCATTTTCTTGTATTGTGGTAGTTTTCATTGTATTATATCCGACAATTATGAAACTTTTTTTGTTTAAAAACGTTGGGACAGGTTAAAGCCCTCTGTGGTGATCTACGCGTTATTGGAAAGCAAGACTTTAAGCATCTTCTAAAGTAAGCATCGTGTGATGACAGATAGACTACTTTGGTTTTCTCCTTATAGACGTAATGTTTCATTAATTCCTTGTCCTGTTTTATAGGTGGCGTATACTTATTAGGAAGGCACTTTCTCCTGCGGAGAAAGTTACTCCAGCTGCCACTACAGATGAACCTGTGACCAAAGAAGACGAAGAGGAGAAATTGCTTAATGAAATGGAAGAGCTAACAAATGCCATGGAGCGGAAGAAGAAAAGAGCGAAGAGAATTACAGCAAAAAGACGTGCAAAGGTTTGACATTTCTTCCCTCATTTTTTTCCCATAGATGCATAAGGCCTCTTAGAACTATGTTCTGCCACTGTTCAGTTTATATAGCTGTTAAAGAATTCAACGGTGTTTGAGTTGCTAAAATTCTTGTCTGTGAATTTTAACTTGTATCTTTTGCTAGGTAAAACCATAGTAAAATTTTTGATCCCAAATGTACCTTATTATGCATGTCTTTCCCAGTAAAAAAACATTGTAAGCTTATAGTATGAGTCCAAAAGGCTCTGAAATCTCACATTGATGTGAATGTGGCACATTATGTTACTATTTTTAAAATGAAAAAAGAACAAAGTAAGAAAAAATAGTCAAACATTGTTATTATACAATATTAGTAGAACTCATTTCCATCTTTCAACTATTAAATAATCGTGTATTATCAGGCATTTCACATTTAACCAGCCCATACATTATCGGGCTCGTTTTGTAGTGAATCAAACTTGACGGGACTTTGTATCTTCGTTAGATGTTTTTGAAGTCATATAATCCTTACCTTATCTGTAAAATGCAGTTCTTGTGGATGTGACTTAAATATGTGCATCCTTCTATTTTCAGGAAAAGGGTCGGAAAGCATTAGGCAAGCAGGTGGATGCAACAGAGGATGGTTACTTTGATTTGGACCTGTTTTCTCTAGCTTCAATTAAGGTACTTAGTGTTCAGCTTGTTGTTTGTGTCTTGTTCTAGAGAGTTTATTTGTCCTTATTTCAACTTTTGTTGCCTCGCAAACAAAAAAAAAAAAGAGAAGATAAATCGAAGGGACTAAGATCTTGTAACTGACATATTTTTCTTCGATTTTCCTCTCAGGGGAAGAAAGATCTTAAGGTTGTCGACAGTAATGAATATGAAGATGATATCGGTGAAGTCAGGAACAGTGAAAGCGAAGAAAGCAACAATGAAAACACAGACAGTGATTTGGATTCTGAGGAAGAAAAGAAACGGTAATTGTTCTTCACTTGCTTCAACGTTTATAAGCTTAAATAAACTGTATTGCCCCGTTACTTTGTACTCCTATAACTGTAGTTGTTGTTGCATTCAGATACGATAACCGAATAGAAGAATTACTTGATGAAGCGTATGAACGCTATGCTGCTAAAAAAGAAGGAAGTACAATGCAGAGGAAGCGCGCCAAACAAGCCTACTCAAAGGATGATCAGTTAATGGAGGTATTTTGCATTATTTAATTAAAAGCATGTGAATCCCTTTCCTTTTGCTACGTTTAAGAGCTATTTATACCTTAGAATTGGATTATGCATCATATTAACCTTGGTTTGGAAATTAGGATATGACTTGATGAACAATATAATCGAGGATTGTCAAATGTTGTGCTTAGGTTTCAAGCCCACGATGAAAAACGGGCCCTATATTTTAATCAATTGTACAAAGGATTTTTCGTCCAAACTCAACCACTATTATTACCCAATCAAATTAAGGATATTACCTAATACAAGGATTCTAAATCACAAATTCCAAACATAAGATAGTTATATATATATATATATATATATATATATATATATATATATATATATATATATATCATGTTAATTGTAATTCTGATTAGATCAATCAATCTTATCCATCCCATCAACATTCTCAAACGTTAACATTTTTTTTAATCTTTATATCCCTAATAAGTTTCGACTGGATAAATTTGCAAGTAATCGACATTCTTTTATTGGGTTTTGCAGGAAGATGATCATAGCACTGTTAATCCTTACCAAGGCTCGGACGATGAGAAGGCGGACGAAGAAGCAAATCCCCTCATGATACCACTTTCTGAAAACACCCCTACCCAAGACGAAATCGCCGCCCAATGGTTCAGTCAAGACGTCTTCATGGATGCCACCGACGAAAACGAAAAAGACGAAAACAGCGACGACGAAATGCCGACGAAATTACCCAACAAGAAGAAGGTTCCGGAACCCTCCCCCAAAGAAGAACAACCCTTCACCAAGAACAAGAAAACGACCAAATCGGCCTCGGACGACTTCGAAATAGTCCCCGCACCAGCCACGGACAGCGACTCCTCATCGTCCGACGAATCCGACGCAGAAGACATAGGGACAAAAGCGGAAATTCTAGCATGCGCTAAAAAGATGCTGAACAAGAAACAAAGGGAGCAAATGCTGGACGATGCATACAACAAGCACATGTTCCACGACGAGGGTTTGCCTGATTGGTTTGTGGACGAGGAATCAAAGCACAACCAGCCAATCAAGCCCATCACAAAGGAAGAAGTGGCGGCAATGCGGGCCCAGTTTAAGGAAATCGATGCTCGGCCGGCTAAGAAGGTGGCTCAGGCGAAGGCAAGGAAGAAAAGGGCGGCAGGTAGGAAGCTGGAGAAGGTGAGGAAGAAGGCGAACACCATTTCCGACCAGGCAGATATATCTGACCGGTCAAAGATGAAGATGATTGACCAGCTATATAAGAAGGCGGTGAGTGTAAAGAAACCGGAGAGGGAGTATGTGGTGGCGAAGAAGGGTGTGCAGGTGAAGGCGGGTAAAGGGAAGGTGCTTGTTGACCCGAGGATGAAGAAGGATTCGAGGAAGGCCGGGATGGGGAGGAAAGGGAAGGGCGGTAAGGCCAAGGGGAAAGGGAAAGGGGCGGCAAAGGGTGGTGGTGGCGGCGGTTCGGGAAAGAGTAAGGGGAATAAACCGACGAAAGGGAGGAAGTAATTGAGGAAAATTTTGTTTTTGTTTTTTTATACAGGATCATTAAACTTTAATTGCACTGGATAATTTGCGTAAGCTACAATTTTGATGTCGATTTGTTGTGAGCAAGGGATATTGTATTTTTATTTGGGATGGATGGAATTGGTAAATTATGTGTGCGATTTTTAGATTAAACCAACTTATTGCGTTTTATTATTAAATTTATTAAAAGTTAATATTAAATGTGTTAATTAGTATTTTACTATATAGCTCCTAATTTTGTTTGGATGGAATTTTGTCAATAAAATATATAAACTATTATATCATATTATTCCGAAAAAATAATTTTGATTATTATAATTTTTTTAGTGTTCCCGCTTTATAAATTTAAATTACACCAGTATCTTTGAAATATGCTATAATAATTTTAAGGACCTCGTTGTATTGGCAATTATAGTTATATCTCTGAAACAATTATTGGAGCCAATATTTCATATCATGGGGACTGATATGCACTATATTTGTTTCTCGGGTCGTTGTAAATTTGAAAAAATTGTTAGGAGAGCCATGTCACTAGTGGCGGAGCTAGGAATTTGAAACAGGATGGGGTTAATATTTACGGGGGTTCGGGAGCAAAGCCCCCTAGATTTTTGTTTGATTCGTTCGTATAAAGTAGCACAAAATTTATAAACTTTAACTAAGAACACATATTTTTTTTTGGTGAATAGGCTAAATTAAATTACTTGGGTGTACTAAATTAAATTAATTGGGTGGACTAATTACATATAACTATAGTACTTCATAAAAAGAAATTGAATACACAGTGGACTGGAGCCCACCCTTGTTAAAGGGTGGCTCCGCCACTGCATGTCACCCCTTATCTCTATATTGTCTCCACCACTGGCTGTAATTACCGATAATACATGGACTTTAACGCTATTTTATCATACTTCAGGGTTGTAGTTGTAATTTACCATTTTACCCTTTATGAAAATACCATTTACTTTTGTATATTTCAACTCAATAAATTTTCATGACCGTTGGCTATATAATCATCGCAACGGCTACTAAAATAGAAACCTTTTACTCGAATTTAAAAAAGGTTTCATTCAATTTCAAACCCAACGGGAAACACCGCCATTGCTCTACCAAAAACCCCCAATTGCTTTGATCCTCTAGGGTTTCAATTCATCATATGTAATTTTGTATACTCATTTCTTGTTCACATAATTGAACAATCTTTACTTTCATTTCTGTGTTTTCGTTTTTCTTCAGAAAAGTGAAGCAAAGATGAATGACCTAATGACGAAATCGTTCCTGAGTTACGTCGATTTGAAGAAACAAGCAACGAAAGATCTCGAATCCGACCCGGACATCGAAACGGGCCAACTCGGCCCGCCCGACGATGGAAACCTCTCCCAATTCTTCGTCGAAGTCGAAGCGATCAAGTCCGAAATGGAAGACATCGCGAACCTCCAACTCGATCTCCAAACCCTAACCGAAGAAACCAAATCCACCGCACAGAGCGCCAAGATCCTCCGCGGTGTAAACGATCGGATAAATTCCGACACGACCGCGCTCCTCCGTAAGGCGAGAACCATCAAGGCGAAACTAGAATCGCTCGACAAATCCAACGTCGAAAACCGCGGTTTGTCGCCTCTGTACGTCAAAGGCTCCCACGTCGACCGCACACGAATTTCCGTAACGAACGGCCTAAGAATCAAACTCAAAGAAATGATGGAAAATTTCCAGTGCTTACGAGAAAAAATCGTCGAAGAGCACAAACAAGGGCTTAAGACGAGATACTACACCGCCACGGGCGAAACCCCGAGCGACGAAGTTGTGGATAAGATGGTATCCGGAGGTGGGCCCACCTCTGTTTTTGCTCAGGGGGAATCCGTGGAGGAGAATCGGCAAAGAGACGAGGCGGTTATGGAGATACAGAGGAGTTTGGTTCTGTTGCATCAAGTGTTTCTTGATATGGCTGTGATGGTTGAATGTCAAGGCGAGCAGATGAATAATATCGAGCAGAATGTTGTGACGGCCCGTGATTTCATCGGTGGTGGAGTGAAGGAGCTCGATCGGGCGGATACGATGAAGAAACGGAGGAGGGTTTGGGCTTGTTGGATTGTTGTTGTGGTGCTGGTTTTCTTGTTGGTTTGCCTCGTTGCGATTTTGTTCTGAATTAATTAGACGATAATTTTTTTTTTCGGGTTTTAAATGTGTTTGGTGAATTGGTGTTCATCGTTTTCGATTTGTTTTGATGGTTTTTCGGTTTTCACATTGGTATTTGGGTTTTTTTGTATTTTTTTTCCGGTTGATATTCGGTTTTCGATCCGGTTGTGTTGTGAGTATTATTTTCGAGATTTTTAATACAAGTTTGATATGTTGGTGTTATGCAATTATTATTCGAGTTGCGTTTCTGCTACAAATATGATTAATTTTTAGCACATAATTAATTCTATTGAAGTTACACTCAAGAACACAAATGTAACACAAATTGCATTATATATTTTTAATAATAATTTTGTTTGCTTTTAGCAAACTTTAATTTCAACCTTATGCAAAATGCTCTGCATTTTGCATCAAATCCTTCGAAAAAAAAAAAATAAAAAAAAAATTAACAAATTTCCCCAAAAAAAATCATTTGATTTTGGAGCCAATTTAACACTGTGGAAGATTCTTTGGTGGAGGCAAAACAGAGTGATCTGAATCTGGTCCATTTTCCACTACAAATGCTGTCTTCAATCCCCATCCAGTATGCAGTTCTAAGTGACAGTGCATAAACCACACACCTATATATAATTATATATATATATATACAATAATAAAAATGTTAAATAAAGTGTTTCTTTCATATATATATATATTATATATGTAAGTATGTATATGTTACCTGGATTATCAGCTCTAAATCTTATTGCAGTCCAGCCACCAGTGGGTACTCCGACTGTGTTTCTCTCTGGTGGGTCGACCAAGTTGAACTTCGCTGGATCTTTTTTCCGGTCAAAGTTTCCGATCCCGGTTCCGACGACGAAGAAATTGTATCCGTGGAGATGGAAGGGATGAGACTCCACCGATAAAAGATTTGTGTCCTGCAAAACCAACTCCACGGTCGAGTTGAACTCTAGCTTGCTCACCCTTGGCTTGCTACTTTGCACCGTGCCGAGATTCGCCGTTAGAGGCGCGCCTGTGTAGTTAAACGGTGTCGGAGGGTTGTCTGGGAAATCGGTAGTGAAGACTCCTTTAAGGTTGTAGTAATGGGCTTGTAATAACCCGATTTTCGGCATTATAAAAGTAATGTTGTTCAACGAAGCCGAGAGTTTGGTCCCGTTTTGGCAATTAGGGCAAGGGTTTATTCCTAACCCGATCGTGTAGAATAAGTGTCGGTCGACTTTGAGCGGGACGTTCGCGGGGAAGTTTCTTGAAGCCAAGCTTCTAATCTTGGAATTGTAGGTGAGTGCAAAGGTGGTGTCATTGAGGAGGGGTAGTTTGGGGATTTTTGGGATTATGGTTTTTGGGGTGCCCTTATATTGTAGTATGGATGTGGCGGTGTTGTTGTCGATCGAGAGTGGGGCGTCCATGAAGGGGCCCGCGGCCATGAAGTAGCGGCCGCGGGCTTGGTTGGCCCGGACCAGGACATTCGTTGTCTGGCCCGGGGCAATCAGGATTGCTTCGGTCGAGAAGGGCTTTGTGTAGACCGCGTCGACTTCCACTACGGTTAGCGTGTGGTTTGCGATGGCGAAGAAGAGCTCGTCGTTGAGTGCCGCGTTGATGATCCGCAGGAGGTAGGTTTTGCCTTGCTCGACTTCTATTGCGTAAGTGTCTGCATGGACGAGCAATTATGAGTATTAGCTAGAAAACCGGAATTAAATGTATTTCCTTAAAACCACCGAAAATTTAAGGTCTTACGTTTTTCGGAACACGGGTAGAGTGGGCCCGGCTTGCCGTTGATAGTATGCGCATCGGACATCTTCGGAGGCAATCCGAGCTTATTTCCTTGTTTAACAATCTCTTCAACATCATCATTCCACCACTCCCCTATTTATTTTACCAAAACATCAAAAAAAAAAAAAAAGCTTTATTATAAAAAAAAGAAATTAATAATTATTTAATTAAATATAATTAATCAATTACCTAGGACTAAATTAAACTCGAAAGCAGGCTGAGGAAAAGGATAAGGAACCCCAATTTTGGGCATAATTACAATAGCACCATAAACAGTAGCTCTTAGCCAAAATATATGTGCATGCCACCATAGTGTTCCTCGTTGACCGGTTACATTATAATCGTACGTGTAACTTTGACCGGTCTGAACCGGACATTGTGTTATATAAGCCGGTCCATCTGCCCACCCGTTTCGGTATTGCTTCATTCCATGCCTTGTATTTCAAAGAAAAAACAAAATGGATTAAATAATTTACGATAAATTAAATTAAATTCTTACGATTTGATTCGTCATTTTAAGCTTATCGATTTTCAATTAAACAAACGAAAAAAAAAGTTATGATTTTACATGATTGCGATTTTGTACGATTTTATTTATAACGATTCAAAATTTGTCATATCTTTTTTATTTAATAATTTTATAAATAATTTTGGCGTCTATAAAAAGAATTATCAAAATTAAATAAAATAAGAAATGAATTAGAAATTTTACTAAAAAAAATTTAAAAATAAGATATTTTATATTAATTAAAATATTAACACTATTTTCGATCGTCTAACTATTGCAATATTATTTCTTTAATTATAATATTTATATTATGAAATATGCATTTCTAGTAAATTTGGATAAAATATAAAACTCTTACCATTTATTATTCGTAATTTACGATTTAACAACCATGATAGGAATATATATCGAGTTTAAAAGATTTCTTTTTTACCAGTGAATGGACATGTTATATTGTGCATGGTTAGTGACGTTAATAAGAAGTCGATCTCCTTCTCTAACGTAGATCGTTGGCCCTGGAAACATCCGGTTTACCGTTACAATTGGCTTCGAATGGCACAACCTGCTCACATTCTTCACTTGAATCTGCAAATTTAATGCAAGAAAATATAATTAAAAATATTATAATGAGTCAAATAAATGTAATATATATAATAGCTACATAAAATGTATATATAATAATAACTTTCGACTATTTTTTTTTAACACTAACGTCGAACTGGTATTTTTTCACTTCAGCTCGGGCTGGAGTGGAGAGATACCCCACAAGAAAAACGACGAGAAAAAGAATAGTCCAGTCGAAAACGTTTCTTCTCTCCATCTTTCTTTGATAAAGATTCCGAGTTCGCTTGCTAAAGATTAAATGCTTGATGCTTTTATGATTGTACGATATACGGAAGACGTTTTTCGACTTTTTATAGGGTTTGAGAAGAAGGATATAGTTAGGATAAGCCATCAGTTTGTTAAGGAGAGAGAGTTTCTTTTTCTCTTTTCTTTTTGGTTTGCAGATTAGGTGAAGAAATACCAATGCTTACAAGCAATATTCTGATAAAGACCCTATTTTTTTTAATTAGAGAGAGAGAGAGAGAGAGAGAGAGAGAGAGAGAGAGAGAGAGAGAGAGAGAGAGAGAGAGAGAGAGAGAGAGAGAGAGAGAGAGAGAGAGAGAGAGAGAGAGAGAGAGAGAGAGAGAGAGAGAGAGAGAGAGAGAGAGAGAGGGGTTAAAATTGTTTCTGTGTATGAATTAAGTATGGAAAAATTACAGTTTTACCCCTCAAGTTTGCACCGATTTCATATTTGGTCCCTTATGTTCATAAAACACACATTTGGTCATTCATGTTTCAAAAATTCAATACTTTAAGTAATTTTCCGTATCTTTCTGTTAGAACTAACATAATCAAGTGTGTGCTTATCATTGACTTAACTGAATGTAAATTGACGGAAATGACCAAAAGTGTTAATTTTTTTAAACATGAGGGATCAAATGTGTTTTTTTCTAAACATGGGGACCAAATGTATAATCCGTGCAAACTTGAGGGATGAAAACGGTATGTTTCCCAATTAAGGATTTTGCTAATAACTGATGGACTAACGCTAAATTGACGAAAATGAGGGATCAAGTGTTTTTTTATGAACATGGAGGACAAAATATGTAATCCGTGCAAACTTATGAAATGAAAACGGTAATTTTCCCAATTAAGTATTTTGCTAACAACTGACGGACTAACGGTAAATTGACGAAAATGACCAAAAGTGGTAAATTTTTGAAACATGATGAATCAAATGTATTTATTTTATGAACATGGGGACTAAATGTGTAATCCGTGCAAAAATTGAGAGGTGAAAAATGTAATTTTCCAAATTAAGTATTTTGTTAATATATGAAGATGAGAGGTACGTAGAGCCAACCATGGTCCTGAGCTTTAACTTTAAGAAATAGCTATTAATAATAAATTTGTTGTTTATGTTATTTTCTAATATTATTATGTGTTTGTTTTAGCTTGCAGCATGCTCTTGCTTTTTCTTTTTTTTTTTTCTTTTTTTTTGTTGTTGTTTTAATATGTGTTTTATTTGATTTTGAGTAATATTTACATCTTATTACTTGTGGTGACTGGTTAGTTGTTTGGGATGTTGGCTCCAAAAATTTCGACGGGAATCGGAATGATATGTAAAAATTAAAATTAATAGAAAGTTTGATTTCCGATTCAATTTTAATTTCAAAAAATAATTTGATACTTTCTGAATTATATATATAGTTATAAACTTATGAATTTTTTATTTCTAAAATTAAAAAGAATTTTAAATTTTCTGAAAATTAAAATAATTCAATTTTAATATTCCACTGTAAACAATAACGCACCATAAAAAAAAAAAAAAAATACGGCATTGCTCTTCCTCAAATTGCATTTTCTTTTATTGCTGAGTTCTCAATCTATCAAATTTTTATTATTTTCAACAATCTTACACATTAAACTAATATATGTACATTACCTAATCTCCAAATTTTGTGTACTCTTATCACATTTGAGATCCTACATCTGGTGAAATACACCATGTGACTTTAAACCGTAGATCTATATAAATAACCAGTCACTAAATACACATACACACGAGAGTGTGTTATTATGTGTAGATCTACGATTTAAAAGCACATGATGTATTTCACTAGGTATAGGTTGTACAAAGCAGTACTCATACATAACCATACATAAATCATAAACTCAAAAAATAAAGAAGGGGAAGAGATTGACAGGCAGTAGTTCCAACACATGAAACTATTACTGTTTCCAAAACCGCTCTGTTAGGAACAAGTTCTTTCCAAAACAGCCATGGATCCGAGAAAACAATTTAGAACAACTGAAAGGAGGAAGATATCAAAATATTGAATAAGAACGGCTCAGTTCCCTTTTCCAGTGTTCATACAGTCGATCCAAGGTCTGGTGGTAACACCAACTGAAAACAAGCACCAAGCAACAGCCATTGATCCAAAACCCTAGATCTGACCCCCAAACCTCACTCTGAGTTGACTCACCAACACATGCACAGTCAACTCAGTGGATAACTCACCCTCTCCACTCAGCACAAACCCAAATTTCTGCACTCAAAGTACCGAAACCCTCACAGAAGAGGATTAAGGCCAGGGAAATCACAGTTTGAATAAAAGGTGAATCACACTTGTCTCTCTCTCTCACCACAGTATAAATCCACGGAGTTTCAACGGTCTTCAGCATTAAATGTGCTGCGACGGCAAGGACACCCATTGTCCGGCCAGACCTGCGACGGTGTCGCCGGAAAACGACAATGGGTGACGAAACACTGTAGAGAGAGAAGGGGACAAGGTGAAGAGAGAGAAACGGCGCAGCAGAAGAATGCTGCTAGGGTTGAGAAAGATTAGAAGTATAGGGCAAATGGAGGGCTCAGATTGAAGCCCTAAAACAAACGGTTCAGATCTTAGTTTGACTGGATCAGTGGGCTTTAGTTGCATTGGGCCCAATTTCACAAGTTGGGCTGTATTTGATTAAGTAATCGGCCCAGATCACAAACAGAGCAATTCTATTGGGCTCAAAACTTAACAAATTCTCCACCTGAGACCAATAAAAGGATTATTATGAACACACTTAATGGACTGGGATCATCATTGCCGTAACTTTGAATCTTAAACACTAATCACACAGATTGTAGTAGAAGATTCAAAAGTATTTTTCCACGAAAGAGGAAATCACCAAGATACAGAAAATTTTAAAATCACAGAGAAGTTAAAAAATAACATAAGCTATCACAGAGAAAGCAAAAGGAAAGGCTTGCACACAGCAAGCAGACACACATGTCTGTTTCAATTATGTTTTTGAAACAATGTTCAAGATTCTCAAACATGATCTCAATTTTTCCACAGGTAGGCACTTAGTGCCCATGTCAGCAGGGTTGAATTCAGAAGGAATTTTCTCCAGATCTATCTCACCTTTTCCCACCACTTTCCTGATAAAGTGGTATTTTATCTCAATGTGTTTTGTTCTGTCATGAAAAACAGGGTTCTTGCACAATTGTATACCTGATTGGCTGTCAGAGAAAACCACAACTTTTCCTTTCAAGAAACCACTTTCTGAGAGCAGCCCTTTCAACCAGAGGGATTCTTTTACAGCCTCAGTAGCTGCAATGTATTCAGCCTCAGTGGTGGAAAGGGCTACAATATTTTGAAGTTGGGATTTCCAGCTAATACAAGAACCACACAAAGTAAACACATAGGATGTGGTGGATTTCTTATTATCTCTGTTTTTGGCATAATTAGAATCCACATAACCACATAAGACAATTCATTTTTCACATTTAGAAAATTCAATCCCTGTTCTAACTGACCCTCTTAGATATCTCATTAACCACTTTACAGCCTCCCAATGAGGCATGCCAGGATTAGCCATGTATCTACTCAAACAGCTTACAACATATGTAATATCAGGTCTAGTACTTACCATTAAATACATGATAGAACCAATTGCATTAGCATAAGGAACAGATTTCATGTCACACATTTCAGGTTCAGTCTTTGGGGACTGTTCCTTACTTAGCAAAAAATGAGCAGCTAAAGGCACAGACACAAACTTGGCATTTTTCATGGCAAATTTATCTAAGATTTTTTCCACATAGGCAGATTGGTTCAGAAACAAAGAACAATCTTTTCTGTTCCTAACTATGTCCATATCCAGAATTCTCTTTGAATCACCAAGAAATTTCATGTCAAAAATTTCACTCAAACAATATTTCACATGATCAATAGCTTTTAAACAAGGGCTGGCAATAAGCATGTCATCCACATAGATTAACAGGAACATAGGAAATTGAAAATTATCTTTGAAGTACAAGCATGGATCAAATTCACTTCTTTTAAATTTCAAAGAGAGCATGCAAGAGTCAAATTTTTTGTTCCCTAGACAGCTTAAGGCCATAAAGAGATTTGTTTAACAGATAAACATAATTAGGGTTAACAGAATCAACAAAGCCTTCGGGTATAAAAATTTTCTTATCAAGATCACCATGCAGAAAAGCAGTTTTAACATCCATTTGCTTAAGTTCCCAATCAAAGTGAGCAACTAGAGCAAGTAAAATTCTGACAGTGGTGAATTTCACAACAGGAGCAAAAATTTCAGTATAGTCAATACCCTCTCTTTGTGTAAAACCTTTAGCTACAAGCCTAGCTTTATATCTAACAGAATCAGATTCATGCTTGATTTTAAAGAGCCATTTACATTCGATCACTGAGCACTTAGCAGGTTTTGGGACAAGAGTCCAAGTATGATTGACATGCAAGGAGTTAATTTCCTCTTTCATAGCAGATAACCACATAGCAGATTCTGAAAGTATGATTGACATGCAAGGAGTTAATTTCCTCTTTCATAGCAGATAACCACATAGCAGATTCTGAAGATTTTAAAGCATCTTTGTAGCACTTAGGTTCATTACCATCTAAAACATCAAACACATTGAACACATAAGATGCAAGCTGAAAATTATCAAGATGATGAGGTTTCCTAATTTCTCTTCTAGGCCTATCCCTAGCAAGTTGATAATCATGCAAATCATCAATATCAGGCAAATCAGACTCAACATTTTGATCAAACACATTTTCAGGCATAGAGGATGAATCATCATCATCATTCTCAATTTCCTCATTTCCAAGAGGAGATTTCTCCACCTCAATTGGAGCAGAGGGAGGAACAATAAATGAAGGCACAGACAAACAAGGATATTCATTCTCATTGAAAACAACATTTCTACTAATGATAGTTTTAAAACCATGTTCATTCTTTAGCCAACATCTATATCCTTTTACCCCTTCATGGTATCCAATAAAAACACATTTTATGGACCTGGGTTCTAATTTATCAGTTTTATGGTGAACAAAAGCAAAACAGCCAAAAACCCTCAAATTAGAAAAATCAGCTGGTTTCCCAGTCCACATAGTTTCAAGCAAATTTCCAGACAAAGGCACATATGGAGATCTGTTAATCACATAAGCAGCTGTTAAGACAGCTTCACCCTAAAACACTTTTGGCAAACCAGATGCATGCAACATGGATCTAACCCTATCCATTAATGTCCTATTCATTCTTTCAGCTATGCCATTCTGTTGGGGGTATATGCCACAGTCCTATGTCTTCTAATGCCAAACTCAGCACACAAAGAATCAAATTCATGATTGCAAAATTCAGTTCCATTATCAGTTCTAAGGGTTCTAAGTTTCTTGTTGGTTTGATTTTCAATAAAGGTTTTCCAAGATTTGAACTTATCAAAAACAACAGACTTTTGAGCAAGTAAGAAAACAAACACTTTTCTTGAAAAATCATCAACAACAGACAAGAAATATCTATTTCCACCAGGTGTGGAGACAGGTGCAGGACCCCAAACATCTGCATGAACATATTCAAGGATTTTTGTGCACTTAGAAGTATTAGGGAAAAGGGATTTGGGGAATTTCACTTTAGACTGTTTACCCATAACACATGAATCACACAAAGGCATATCAACAACAATGTCACCACTCAGATAGTTGTTTTTATGCAAAATTCCTAGTCCATTACTACTGATGTGACCTAATCTTCTATGCCAAAGATCAGTCATGTCATGCTGGATAGAGTTAACATGGGAAACAGATAATGCAGATGCAACATACATATTGTGCATTCTAACAGCCTTAAAAAAAGCAAACCATCATGCATTATATTCATAACCCCATCACCCAAAGTACCCTTATACCCAGAATCCTCCAAGATAGCACAAGACATCAAATTCCTGCTAAGTTTAGGAACATGTCTCGCATTTTTCAAATTAAGCACAAAACTAGATTGAAATTTCAGACATACAGTTCCTATACCTAGCACATGTCTTTTACTACTATCAGCCATGGACACTGAGCCATTTTTCAATTCAACATAAGAAGAGAACATGCTTCTGTGAGGTGTCATATGATTTGAGCAAGCATAATCCATTAACCAATCATTATCAGTCAAAGATGCAGACACAGAATTCACAAAATCAAGATACTCATCTGTAATCATAAACACATCACCCATGTTTTCAGCAACTTGGTTAGTCTGTTCATTATTAGACTTATTCTCTTTCTTAGGTTCAGCATACCTATTAGCATAATGACCAGACTTACCACAGTTGTAACACTTCCTATGTTTGAGCTTATTCTTACTCCCTACTTTACCCTTATGAGGTTTTTGAAAATTTTGGTTACTGGAGGAATAAGCCTTGTTTGAAAACTTGTTTTTAGGCTTGTTTTTCACAAAGTTTAGATCACCCAAAGATTTGTTGCTTTTTGTAGTTTTCAAATCAAGCTCCTTGCTTTTCAAACCATTTATCACAGTATCCAGAGTCACTTTGTCTCTGCCATACTTAATTGCAGATTTGACATCACGGTAAGAATCTGGAATAGCATTTAGTAGAACAATGGGGGTATATTCATCAATACTTTTATCCCCAGTTAACTTTATATCTTGCACAAGTTTTGTAAAAAATCAAGATTTTCATCTATGTCTTTGTGCAAGTCGAGTTTAAATCTAAAAAAATTCCAGTAAAAACATTTTTGAGGGTAAAGAGGTTTCAGTATAAAGTTCTTCTAACTTATCCCATAATTCCTTAGCAGTATCAAGTTTACCTATCTTTCTAATCACAGAGTCAGATAAGTTCAGAATAATCAGGGAATAAGCAAGTTCATCAAAGTCATCTTTCATTTCGTTAGTAGTTTTATCATCATAAGTTTGAGTTATGGCCTTAAAACATTCCTGTTGGACTAAAACATCTTTCATTTTCTGTTTCCATATAGCAAAGTCACCATTGCCATCAAATGAAGCCACAGGATAAGAGTTCATTTTCACACGGAAGGAAACAAGGGCACATAAACAAAATAAGAGGCACACTAGCACACAAGATGCACACAGACAGCAACAGAAAATAGAAGCACAGAAGCTGCACACAGACAGCAACAGAAAGTAAAAGTCACACAAGCTGCACACATACAACAACAAAAAGTAAAGGCCACACAGAGCTGCACACAGACAGCAACAGAAAAGGAAAAATAAACACACAAGATGATCCCATGAGGCCCAACAGTGAGCCAATCGTTGCAGAAGGCTACTTAAGTAACCGGTTGAAGGCTGGGCTATCTCAGACTACCCCCCTTCCCCAGATTCCTGCGACACTAAGCGGTCCGGACAAGGGAAGTTGAGAGTGGCAGGTAGCCTGAGTTGGCCCAGATTTCAGAGAGCAGCGGAAATAAGTTCTGACCACACAAGGTCAACCACAGGATTTTACCTAGAAACAGAGTGAGTGAGTCACAATAGTGTAATCCGTAGCACGAGTCTGCAAAGAACAAGTGCTCAACTGACGCTCAGATACCACTGTTAGGAACAGGTTCTTTCCAAAACAGCCATGGATCCGAGAAAACAATTTAGAACAACTGAAAGGAGGAAGATATCAAAATATTGAATAAGAACGGCTCAGTTCCCTTTTCCAGTGTTCATACAGTCGATCCAAGGTCTGGTGGTAACACCAATTGAAAACAAGCACCAAACAATAGCCATTGATCCAAAACCCTAGATCTGACCCCCAAACCTCACTCTGAGTTGACTCACCAACACATGCACAGTCAACTCAGTGGATAACTCACCCTCTCCACTCAGCACAAACCCAAATTTCTGCACTCAAAGTACCGAAACCCTCACAGAAGAGGATTAAGGCCAGGGAAATCACAGTTTGAATAAAAGGTGAATCACACTTGTCTCTCTCTCTCACCACAGTATAAATCCACGGAGTTTCAACGGTCTTCAGCATTAAATGTGTTGCGACGGCAAGGACACCCATTGTCCGGCCAGACCTGTGACGGTGTCGCCGGAAAACGACAATGGGTGACGAAATACTGTAGAGAGAGAAGGGGACAAGGTGAAGAGAGAGAAACAGCGCATCAGAAGAATGCTGCTAGGATTGAGAAAGAATAGAAGTATGGGGCAAATGGAGTGCTCAGATTGAAGCCCTAAAACAAACGGTTCAGATCTTAGTTTGACTGGATCAGTGGACTTTAGTGGCATTGGACTCAATTTCACAAGTTGGGCTGTATTTGATTAAGTAATCGGCCCAGATCACAAACAGAGCATTTCTATTGGGCTCAAAACTTAACACGCTCAGTCCCATATTCACCAGTGTTCAGTCTCGAAATCTAAATAGGTGGCGACTCCAATCGAAAACCAGCAACAACCCACAACCACACAAACTCAGAATTGGGCCGCCGAGATATATTTTTAAAGTTTTGGCCCAAAACTTTAACATATGTGCTATTTTAAATAATATAAATTTTAATAAATCTATATATATATATATATATATATATATATATATATATATATATATATATATATATATATATATATATATATAATTACATATATGATTTAAATTCATGTATTTGTGTAAATAGGAAGAAGAAGGTGGTATTTGGTATGATTGGAGCCAGCTATATAAGTTTTGGAATAATGGTTCACTCCCAAAACCCAATTTCCAATGATCTGAATCAGCCCAAATAACACAACTACAGAGGACTCCTTTACCACCCCCACGGCCCCACGCACAATTATTTTAATTTGAATATTTTATTTTCTTAAGATTGGAAATTATCATTATTTTCTAATGTCAATTAAATATAATAATATAAATTTAAAACACAATATTGAAATGTGAAATTAAAATACCTAATAGTAAAATAAAATAAAAAATATCTGTGATGTATCGTACTGATGTATATAAAATATTTACGATGTAGTGTATTTCATATTGTTTACTAAGGCTATTAATGTCTTTTCCATATTAATGTCAAATTATTTTAAAATTTTAAATGATTAGATAGAATATTAATTAAATATATTAGAAGGAGGAATATTAATTAAATTATTTTCCATATTAACGTCAAATTATTAAATGTATTTTCGATATATTTCAAGATTCATGTACCTCAATAGGAATATATATTTTTTTCTGAAACAACAGTACACAGAAGCCAAAAGTGGATGAGGATGTATCAGAAAAACAGAATTTGTACGTATTATATTAATATGAACAAATTTATATTCCCAATTTTGAGAAAATAATGTATTTAATTATTTTATACAGATTCACTCTTGCAACCCAAATTCCATTTCGCTTAGTCTAGCAGACGTAATTACGGCCAGCTCCCGAGGTAAGGTCAAATTACGGACAAACCTTTTTCGCTTAGATAATTATAATCACCCATCAATTATACATTTTTCAAACGCCCATCTTTGCGGTGTAATATTCAACAAAATCTTCTATATCATGGGTAATATTGTCTAGTTTCTACTCATTTTGTGCAAAAATGAAGTTTATAATGCATTATAATCTGATGTTTACATGTCAAGATCAGACATATATCTTACGATTATATTGTTTCAAAATATGGAGTTCGAATGTGGTAAAGTGTGTACAAACTCAAGAATATTCCACAAAATTTAGAAAATTCTTCTAAATTCGACACTGCAATAGTGAACATATAAGAAAATTCTTAGTTGAGTGACTGATTGTAATTACTCAAACATAAGGGGAAGGGGGTCTTTTGTAATTTTACCTTACCTTATGTGACCATAATTTATAGTCAATTTTATATCATATATTTATTATTAAAAGGACCTGGTTTTTTGTTATTGCCACCTGGCCCCACCCCCCAAACACACCCACACCCCCACCCACCCCCATCCACCCCCATCCTGCATGGATCTTTTTCCAAATCAGACTAATAAAACCCTGATTCAATTATATATATATATATATATTTCAAAACTATACATATATATAGATATACATTTGTTAAAGAGAATTTTTTGCAGAAGAAAATAAGTTAGGGTTTGAGGAAATGGCGTCCAACTCAGTGAGTTCACGTAGACCCGGCGGTTCGTGGACGGTCCAAGAGAACAAACTGTTTGAGAAGGCACTGGCCCGGTTCGACAGAGACACTCCAGACCGGTGGCAAAACGTGGCTGCGGCGGTGGGCTCCGGTAAATCCACCGACGAAGTCAAGCGGCACTACGATATCCTAATGGAGGATCTCCGCCGAATCGAATCCGGCCGCGTGCCTCTTCCCAACTACAGAAACATCTCCTTCGAAGAAGAAACAAGGTACATAGATATATATATATACACACAGTTAAACTTCTATAAATTAATACAATCGGGATTATCAAAATTTTATTAGTTTAGTGAAATATTAAATTATCGAACTAATACTTTAGTTGGTTTTTACCAAGTCAGGATCATAAGAAATTATTATTTAAGGGAGGTTATTAATTTATCGAGGTTCTACTGTATTATGTTTCTAATTATTTAGTTCTCCTGTTTATTTATTTTTTATATTCTTTCAATTTTTTTTAATGATTTAGTACCCTTTTAGGATTTTATTTTTTTTCGACAAATTAAAGAATCAAAACAATTGCTAAACTTAGATAAGTTTGAGAGTATTAACCTTCGATTCGCATACTGAAATTCTTAGATAGACGATCGCCGTAAATCGGGCTTACATATTACCCCGTTTTCTCGTTTTTAATGAGATAGAGTTATATATAACCATGACTATATTAGATAACAAACTCTACTATATATTATCTCTTAGTAAAATTCTATTTATAATTTAATCTATCCTTAATAATAGAAATTAAATATCCTTAAATAACATCTTTAGATATTAGATTATCAATGATACATTGATGTTCAAATCAACGAAAGATCATAATTAAGTTGACCATTTATTAAATTATCTAATAAAATATCGACATAGAATAATTGTCGATAAACGCATAATATTATAACGAAATATCTTACATTTTCGTGCGTTTTATATTTTAATTTTATTGATCCACTATTTAATTTAATTTTCTTATTGTTTAATATGGCAGGCTTCTCAAGTTTCTCAAGATGTGAGTATGGTGTTTTCTTCTTCATCATCTTCTGCAATTTGCATGCATGAACTTAGTTTTTTCCCTGTGTTTAATTTCTATGTATAGCAATTATCAATATATAGGTTTAAGCTTGTGAGTTAATTTGCGTTTTCTCGTAAGGTGGTGTTTGCAAAATCTTTCGGAAACAGATTATGAGCTTTTTGCTCATAATTTGTTTTAATTTCCAAGTGTTTATCTTTTTTTTTTATTTTTTTTTATTTTGGAGTATTTGCAATAACATCTTTTCATTTGCTCATAATCTTAAAAGAACCTAAGGGTAATGGCTAACCTAGCAGCGTAAGGCCACGGGGCCATGGCCCCCACACATTTCTCGAATCTCTATTAATTTATATAAAAATATAAAAAAAAAATGTGTACAACGAAACTAATAATAACTCTATTATAGAATAAAAAATTCTTAAAAGTATAAACATTTAAATAATAATGTAATTTAATATAAAACATTTTGGTAACCCAATCAAAGGGACATTTTTTTTTACAATATTTGGGATTTTTTTTTTGAGAATTGGGGTGATTTTGTAATTAATTACAGAAATACAATAAAGCGTCATTTAAAATGACGCGCTTTGCCGACCGTTGGATTGAGCTGCGATTGACGGCCAGATCTCCTATTTTGTCCTCTTAATCTGACGGTCCGAGATTAATCTGGGCGATCAGACGGCCCTTAAAAGGCGTCATTCACAACGACGCCCTTTGACCCGCCACACTGGATTACAGCGTCATTCAAAACGACGCCTTTTAGCAGCCGTTGGATTGTGTTTATATAAACGGCTGGATTTGAGCTGAGGTTTTTTAAATTTACTTAATTCTTTTTATTGTTAAATTGTAATACTTAATTGAATTTTAATTTTAAATTAATTATATGCTGTATTTTAAAAAAATTCCTTGATTTATTTATGCAATTTATTTTATAATTCACTATAAAATAATACAAAGTTAATTAATTATAACCTAACAAAAATTATGAAATAAAGAACTCTTTTATCAATTATATTACTTTTTTGTGAAATGAACTTTTTTTTTTGCATAAATTACAAATAAAAAACTATTTTGTCAATTATATATATATATATATATATATATATATATATATATATATATATATATATATATATATATATATATATATATATATATATATATATATATATATATATATTTTTTAATTTATATTTTATGAAATAAAAATAAAATGCCTAATTATTGGGAAATATTTTTGGTCTCTAAATCCTTTAGTTTATTTAATTTGTTTTTTATTGAATAACTAAAATACTAAAAAGTTTTAATAAATAACCAACATAAACTACAATAATAATATCACCAATGACGGTGACCTCCGGTGCCACATCTCGGGGGCCTTCTAGTCTTGTGCCCTCTACCAACTTGTTCATCCTCATCATTTTCATTATCACTCGACGAATTTGCGGATTGAGAATAAGGAATAGGTGTCATCTGATGATCTATCGGTCGCGATGTAGACGAAAACTGATGCGTAAACCCCAAATGAACTGGGTCTTCCGAATTCATATTCGGATTAAAGTAGGGGTATGGGGTGTACGGATCTGCATCAACGAGATTATAATTACACTCACAGTTTTAGATAGTATTAAAAATAAAATCAAAGGTACTAAACATACCGGATGGATGCCCGTGTGATCTACTATCTGTATAATTATCGAATGCCGGATAATATGCTTGAGAAGAAGTTCCTGCCTCGCCAGCGTACATCTGAGTCTGTGACTGAGGCATTTGAGATAGTGGTATCTGAGTCTGAGTCTGAGGGTGAGTCTGAGTATATTGCATCTCAGATTGAGGCCTATCTGAAGGTCCGTGTCGAGACTCTAAGACATTAAGACATGTTCTGAGAGTCGGTAAATACGAACGATAGCCATCCTGGGGCGTGTCTCCGCATCAACAGAAACAATCAACGATCGAAGATGCTGAATCTGAAATAAGTAATAAGAAATATTTTATTTTCAGAAGACATACATTAATAAAAACTATACAATGCACAAAATTTTATAATAAATAAATTTGAATACGTACCACTGTATCCATTGAAATCTGACCTCCAACCTGAAAATCCTATACGATCAGATGGGGTAATCGGTGATATGAAACGACGTGTGTGCAGTTCATACCACTCAAAATAACCATCTTCTGTAGTCTGACTGTCATTGGCATATGGATAATCAATAATATAATTGAGTCTATTATCCCAAGCGGTAACATGCGAAACATGTGTAAGACTCCAATCTCGTTGGTAGCACCTGTACGGTTAGCATTGACGTGCATCCGAAAATCTGTCTCAGTATTTTCAGGAGGTTCAGGTATGGGTTGTACCATCCCGAACTGACGTACTACTCTGTCTGGTCGATGCATCTCCTCAATTGCGTAGCATATCAGGGGGACCCTCGATACCCATATACCTGAACATGCGATCGCCGAATCACCAGCTACAGCTTGATACTCCGGATCATCCAGATCATATGGCATCCATATAAACTGATCTGGGAGCATCTGATCCAACATCATCCTAAAAATACGAAGAACATGTGCACCAGTCTCAATGAAGCTGACATGGTTGGTCCACCTGTGATATATTATTATATATTAAACTAAAGATAATAATAAAGATAAGGTTAAATACAAAAATACCCCACTACTATGAACTTTGTATCATATGCCCCATGTACATTTTTCCCAAATATGACTATAATACCCCTACTCAAGCATCTTTATAACAATATTACAAACATCTTTAAAATCATATTGTTGTTGAGAATTTGAACTACCGGAAGACATTTAAGAAAAAAATAAAGAAATTCAAAATGACAAAAATAAAAGGTTTTATTTAGAAAATTTAAAAAAAAATCTAAGTAATTAAATGTTTTGAAGAAAAAAAGAAAAAAATCAAAATTTTTCAAGTAAAATTGACTGAAAGTGTTAGAAAAATATAGTGGAAGGTGGCTCAAACAAACCCTTATATTAATACACAAATCACCGTAAAAATAATGCAAAAATAATTAACATAAATCTTAAAACCATTACCGTGCACCGTAAGATGGTACGGGAAACTCATATCCTGCATACTCAAGTGTTGGCCCCATTTTGCCAGAGTAGGTATGGGCCTTGATGGAGGAATCCGCATCCATGCCCATATCTGTTAAATAATACAAGAATATAATTTTTTTATAATATAAACTACAAATTAAATGTATTAATGTACTAAATTATATAAGTAATTCATATGTTACCTGTAATAATTGAACAGGACCACTGATTTCTTTTGCAGATATCTTCGATGCTTTGCACAACTCGTGGTAGAGGACTGCTAGAGTACAACTACCCCAACTATATGTACTGACAGCATCAAGATCCTCTAAATGTCTCAAATACATCAACGGAATAGAGTCGCCAGTGTGATCGGACACATAATCCCCCTTACTATGAGAAAAGCAATCCCTCGAGTGTAATGAATAAGGTGCGCATATGTACAATTATCAAGAACGGGATTATTGATTAAATATTCACTAAGGGCTTTGACGCTCAACTTCGATCCTTTTATCTTTGA